GGCTCCGAAGCCCGGGGTAGGGTGGGGAGAACTTAAAGGCGCCGCAAAGCCCCTCCCTGCCCCCCCCAGCGCCACTTTCCAGCCTGGATGCTCGCCGCAACCCTGCGAGGCAGAGCAGGTCGGTGCAACGGAAAGATGATGGAAACATCTGGCCCGGCGACTACAATTCCCAGAATCCACCGAGAGCATCTAGGGGATTCCGGAGAGCTGACATCTCACCCACCCCCAAATGTAACTCCTCAGCCTGGGACACCGGACTGGCTGCTTCACCAGAAAGAGTCCGCACTGGCCTAGCTTAACCTGGGTTCAAATCCCTTTGCCCTGGGCAAGGCGCTCATTGTCAGGGGGGGGGGGGGGGAGGAGGTTTCCCCCCCCTGCACAGAACCTGCCCTCTCGCTCCTCCTGGCACCAGTCTGGCCAGCGCCGCTCGGCTCCTTCTGTGACCCCCTCCCTCCTCAGTATTCCTTTCCTGCACGCAACCCTGCAACTTTGCTGCTTCAAAACAAAGCAAAATAAATCCATCAATGCCAAGAGGAAAGGACTCAAACCCTGTTTCACCTTTCTAAGGAACAGAGAAGCTTTCCAAGCCAAGGTCCCTGGGCTATATCAGGAGAAAACACACCCAAGAACTCCTAAGCCTTATTTTCCTTGCTTTTCTTAGACATCTACAAAAAGTGGTTTACAGCACGATGTTTTCTTTCCTTTGTTCTGCATCCAGGCCAAGTCTGAATTCACAGCTTGGGGAAATGCCCGAGCTGGCTAGGAGATCCTGGATCTTTTACTTCCTTCAAATTTCCCAGCGTCTCTCTTGCACCTTGCTGTTCCTTACTCATCCTGTGTCCTGCTCTTAAAAAAATTGAAAGGTCTGCTCTGCAGGGGTGCAGTGAAGAACCCCCTAGACAGAGCACGGAAGACGAATCCATCTCTGTGACTAAACATTGCAGAGCACGTCCTGATGGTAAAATCTATTCAGCTTTCAGAAAGCCAACAGCCCTCTTCCACCAGAGGTCTTCAAAACGAGATGGCTCTGTGTTGGGGATGCGTGAGTGATGCATTTCCTGCACCATCAGAGGGTAGGACTACATGATGCTTGGGATTCCTTTAATGTTACTCGTTGAGGATTCTATGAAGCAGAGTCCAGGGATAGAAGGCTGGACGGAGACTCAGGAGACCTGCTTTTGAACCCCCACTTGGTCATGGAAACTCCCCTCTCGAAGGTCTCAAAGGCTACATGGCCGTGGCGGCGCCCAACAGGAAGGGCTGAGGGACGGCCTGTGGGGCTGCAGAGAGCTCCCAGCAGTCGCCCAAATGGAAACGAGGACCTTCACGCAGGAAGTGCCCTCGGATGAGACCAGCCCTGGGGTCTGCTCTGCAGCCTCCTGTGGGATTCAGGGCGAGAGGCAGAAGCCACGATCTCCAAAGGGCACGGGCCAAGGCCTCCTTTCTTCTGGCGCCATGGCTAAGGGAGGATTTCCACTGGAGTTATAATCCCACATCCCGTTCACACTGTAAGAATCCCACTGGGTAGCCCCTGGCCAGGGGTGTCTGCAGCGTTTGCTTGCCATCCCCACCTTGTACATTGATCTAATTCTGTAATGCAAACACACAACAGGGAGGCACCCAATGAGCACAAATTGTGCCACTGTGTTACTAGACATTGTGGTCTCACAGCCTATGGAAAAACTTGGCAGAAGCTCTTGATCATGGCTGACAGCTCTCTCTCTCTCTCTCTCTCTCTCTCTCTTGAGCCTTCCGAACTGGCCTGCTCAGAGGATTCCCAGAAAGCACACCTCACACTCCTCGGGGAAAATTGTTCTGCGACTGCTGTTCTCACCTGGGTGAACACCCACCCCCGTCCAAGCAGAAGGCTACAAAAAATGTCTACCCCGAATCATCTCAGTTGGATTTCCAAGAGATGCATGGCCACCGCAAAAGGCTAGGAAAGAAAAGCAGGAGCTACCAGGCATGGGAGGAACAGAATTCGGAAAGGGGGGGGCAGAAAGGAGGCCGCCAGCCCCACCTTCAACCCTCAGCCACAAACAAGGGGAACTCATCTTCTGTAGCTTTCCAAAAACACATAAACACAGAGAGATGCCTCAAGGTGTGTGGAGAGAACGAGAGTGTGACCGAGGCGGATGAAGGGACGGACCAGCTCCTTCCATCACTCTAGGTCCCAAGCATGCCAGGGAACCAAGAATATCCTTCCCCTTGCTCACAATCACTCCCTGGGCCTTTCGGCCACTTCTGCACCAACCCTCACGGCCCGTTTTCAAATCATGCAACGCTACATCTTCACAGTCGCTGCCAGTCAGGAACCCCCATCCAGGAACAGAGGAAAGTGCCTTGCAAAATGCCCCCCCCTTTGTGCTTAGCCCTGTTCTGTCAGCTCTGACTAGCAGCAGCAGCTCTCCGGGGGTTCACGGAGGATGCCCTCCTAGAGATGCCTGGTATATCCCAGGGTCTCTCCCATCCAAAGATGAGCCACTCCTGATCCTCCTTTGTTTCCAAAGTCAGATGGGAGCAAGTGGGTTCAGGGCGGTGTGGGCATGCTGTAGCAGAAAACATGGGGGGGGCTAAATGCTTCTCCCCAGATGATGTCAGACTACAAATCCCAGCATTCCTCACTATTGACTATGGTCGCTGGGGCTAAAAGGGAGCGGGAGTCTAACAACACTCGGGCAGAGGAGAGCAGAAGGGCGCTGTCTCCGCCAATCCTTCAGGACCGTCAAGGGCAGTGGCCTCTTTGCACCTAGAAATCCTGAGGACCCCGACCATCCCTGGAGATCTTCAGGCTCAGATTCCAGGCAAGAGAAGCAAGTGGAATTTTTTTTGGGGGGGTACGGGGGTCCACGATGGCAGGGTCACTCAGACCTTTTAGGAAGCGGCTGGTCTTAAGTGTGAAGGAGAGGGGAGGGTAACCGGGAGAGCCAGGCTGTTCCTTCACCCCCACCCCTGCTGTGTCTCTTTTAAGTAAAGAAGGATTTCTGAATGGCTGTTCCCTCCCTCTCCCCTGCCCACTCCCACCACCCAGCCAATCAGCTGGTGAGCTGGAATTGCAGCAGAGGAAGGCTCTTAAAGGCTCCCAGGTGGAGAAACCATTTTCAGATTTGCTGTGGCTTGCCAAGACGATCTTACATCACTGCTGCCCAGGAAAACGAGGCTTGGTCTAATGGCAGTCCCCACCACCACCTCCCCAAGCTAAGCTCTGCTGGTCTCCTGAGGCTCCTCTCTGCACCCCCCCCCAGCCTCTAAAAAGCTTGTTAAAATGAGGGTGCTCATCATCACCCACAGCAGCTGCACCAGTGACATCCAAATTGCCCAGCGCAGAGCATCGATGCATGTAGCAGGCGGTCTCTTGGGAAGGGCAACAGGTAGGTGGGGAACCCAGATGTGTTTCTCCTTCTGTCTTTTTTAGATCAACATGTAGATTGATGCTCCTATGGTTTTCTTCTTCTCTGAAGTCACTTCCTGATTTTTCCTTCTCTCTAGACACAGTAGCAAGCCTGCAAGCATGGACGCCAGCTCCAGGAGCATCGGTAACTGTGTTTAGCCATCTTTAACCTCATGCACGATCTCTAACAGGATCTCCACCCAGATAATAAATAGCCAGTTTCCATCTTGCCCAGTCCCCTCTGCATGCAAAGCTTCCCTTTCCAGGAATTCTCTTCCCACGCCCAAAATATTCTGGCCCCTGCACTGGCTGAGCTAAAAAATGTCCCCGCCATCAGCGGTTCTCCTCCTGTCAGCCCTTCAGACATTTGGGCCATCAAGTCCCAGACTCTCCACCCTCTGACCTTGTGGCCCCGGGTCTTCCGAGAAGCTCTTCCATTTCCCATGGCAGGCTCCCAAAGGCTAAACCACCCCAGAACTGCCAATTCACAAACTGCCCCATAAACTAAAACTGGGAGGGCAGGACTGGCCAGTCCACGCAACCCAGTCCTCTGCACAAGAAGATCTGTGCAACCAACCATATTGGCCGGGGGGGGGAAGGGGGGAATTCTGGGTGCGGGTTTGCTTGTTTTTTTAAAAAAGAACCCTTCCAAATTTTGCAGTTACTCACTTGTGAAGCCAAGCATGCCTAGGAAGTGGCCACGGGGACCCCACCTCTGCTGACAAGAGAGTCCTCAGGTGTAAGGAACGGTGGCTTGGACCCTCCCCTCAGCCGAGACTTGGCGCCCCCCCTCCCCCGGAAAGCAGAAGAGGGACAAAGACATTCCGGCAGGGCTGGGCAACTCTTTCCTCCAGCTGGATTTCCGAGGCTCTCCCCAACACCCAGGGTGCCGAAATCAAGAGGGGGCTCTATGGGGGAGGAGGATTAAGGAAAGGAACAGTTGATGACACCCTTTTGACTTTCGGCCATCCACCCACCCCGTGCGCCCATGACATTGTTTCCGAAAGCACAACTTTCCTCTGTCTTGAAGGGTGGGGTCCACCAGATCCTCCTCCTCCTCCTCCTCCTCCTCCTCTTCCACAGAAGCCTTGGGTCAGTCCCTTACAGCGGGACACCGAGGTCTGCTCATTTCCTCGGTTTCACCTACAGGTCTGGGGAGGAGGTCATGGCCTGCATCTCTCCCCTCAAGGCTCCAGATGACAGAGAGGGAGAAGGGGGGCAGCGGGGGGGGGGAGATGAACGGCAGCCTCTTTCCTCCGGCCTACGAAGATGGCTGCTCTGGCACCCTCCTCCCCAGGGGGCACAGCCACCCACGCAGACGCCGCCCCCCCCCGCACCCTTGTTCTGGTCTCTTCAGCTGATCCTGCAGAGACAGAAAGCACCGCCACCCTGTTGCTTTTCTCTTCGGGGGGGGGGGGATCAGCGGCACAGCTTGCTTTCTGCAGCCGGAGCACACGCAAGACTCTGGACCCCAAACCTGCCTGCTTCCTTTTCTCCCCCCCCTCCGCCAACACACACACACACACACACACAATCACTCCAAGGAGCCGGGCACGCAGATCGGCCTCGCTGCAGTCTGCCTCCTGCCTGAATGCAGACAGCAGCTGGGTTGCTAGGCAGCAGCAGGAACATGTCAGGAGGGGAAACGGAGCCCACGTGAATCTGCCAAGCTTCGGAGATCCACTCGTGGCCTACGAACCAATCCACCCCCCCTCCCGGCACCGCCTTGCGGAGACGTGTGCTAATTTGTACAACCTGTGTCTCCCCCTCCGCAGCCACGGACACCACCCGTTCCCTCTCTCTCCCCTTATCCCAGGTGGAAGGATTTCCACATGCAGCCCAAGGGCGAGCAACCGGTGCAGTTGGGCTTGCAAGCAACCCCCGGCGCCCAGTTTTTATAGCTGGAGACCACCCCCCCATTTCCCCCTCACCTCCCTCCCTCCAGAAAGGAGCACGGTGGCACTTTGAAGCCCCCACAAGGACCTGTCCTGTCAATCCGGGGCTCAGGGCCTGCCTTTAAAACCTGGCTGGAGGAAAGGGCTTGCCGCATTTTTCTCCCAAAATCACAAATGTGCTTCCAGTTTCGTAGAAAATGCAGAAAAACTGCATATCGGAGGGGGGAGGAAGAGAGAGGCTGTGGACCATGGAGTCTCTTTGGAAGTTCAAACAGGCCCCTGGATGTCCCCTAAATTGGCCAGTGCCTGATCCAGCCCGGCAATATTTTCTCTGATAGGTCCCATCTCCCCGCAGCTGTGACCTGAATCTGTCTTATCTGGAGATGCTGTTGGGTATTAAACTAGGGACCTTTTGCAGGGAAAGCAGGGCTCTTACCCCGAGCAACACCCCCTCGCTACACCTCTGCTCCTTTCTCAAAAGAGGTAAGCACACATTTTCGACCCAGTTCTGACTATTGGCTTGGCTTCACACCACATGTTCTTCTGCCAGTTCTGGAACTCATCTGGCCAAACTTTTCAATGAGATGGCTTCTTTAAAAATAATAATAATAATAATTGGGCAGATAGATTCATCCACAGCATGCCTGTTGCTCTTGTTGATTCAGTTGCCCAGCGTCACAGATCAATTCAAAAACTTATCTTAGGTGATGGATCGCGACAGGATCTGAAAGGTGTCCGACATGTCTTGCGGGCCTTCTCAGTGAAGGCACCAACCAAGGCTCTGGAATACTCCCCATTTGGGGGATTAATAAAGCCACTGCTAACCCAGCTTGCAAAAAAGGTGGTGTTTAGATACATCTGTTAATCCTATCTGATCTACAGAATTTAATGTATGTATAATGTGGCTGCTGGTGACAGTGGACCGGATCAGATAATGGCCTCTCAGTCTGGTGCCCTTCCATGACTTCCAAGAATGAAGCTATGACCTAGCCGACACCCCCCACACGTGTAAGCTTGGATCGGTTACCACAGCCATTTCTTGAGAGGTTCAAGCTTGTCCCATTTCCAGGAAAAAAGAGTGCCCTTTCCCCTATGGCAGCTCACCTCTCAGAGCAAAGATGGGGAGGGGGTTTGGCAAGGGGCAGGAAAGAATAGGTGCTGGTTCTTGAGATGGCTTTTCTTTAGCCTAACAAGTGAGGCTACTATAAGCTGAAGAAGGGGTTTTCAGCCCATTGACACCAGACACAGAGAACTACAACATCCTGCTAATAATAGGCATCCTGATTTCAGAGCTAGAAAATAACAAGGAACAAGGAACTCACTTGGCTCTAACAAGGTGCATTTACTCATATATATAAAACAAAGAGGCAGAACAAAGCTACTCTGTCAGTATAATTACTACAGCATTTAAGCTAGTTAGGGAAGTTACTCTGTAGGGACATTTTGAGGAATTTTTCAGAAACATATTTACAAGAATTTTGCAAGCTTTACACCTTTCTCTAATTGATCCCAAGGCTTTCTCAAAAAATCAGAAGGCACAGAGAATCGACGTGCAAACCAACGAGTTGATTTTTAAACAGCGTAGCAAACAAGAACAATTGCTTTTCAAACACAACAAGAAATGGATCCGAGTTACTTTTAAAAAGCAACTTTCCAAGCTCTGCTTCAGAGCGCATCCTGTACATCATGGAGGTGCAGTGAAGGTTACAGCACTGAAGCTTTCGAGCTCATATAGAGGAGGCAGCAAAGCACGCTGCTTTGAGAAGCAGATAAGCAGAACATCGCTCCCCAAAGATGCTCCCAGGGAGGAAGCGGCTTGGCGAGAGGCATATCTCCCAAAGAGAGGACAAGTCCCAAGCCACTCTGCCCCTTGCCCTTGGGGATGGCAGCAATCCATGCCCATCTCCTGAACGAGGCTCTCCAAAACGGAGCCCGGCTACAGTTCCACACAGTCTCTGTCCCTGGGAGTTGCAACATTTCCCACAGATCATGTGTGTTTCTGCTACTAAACAACTGAATTGTCACAAGCAAAGCAGAAGAAGAATAGAACACTGCCACCACCCCACTTCTCCTCAAGAGCAGACAAATTAAAGGACGGATCGGAGCCAGGGCAGGAGGGCGGGATCAGTCGGCAACCTCTCCAGCACCCACAGCCTCCCTCATTCCCCCATTGCAGACAAAGCGGGTCGGTCTCCTTGCCTGTCTCTCCTCCTACCATCGGGGCCCCTCTTTCAGTTCAGGTGCCAAACCCAAATCTGGGCAAGTTCTCGGGGGTCACAACCCACGGTCAGGGGTGTGGAAGGGGTCCAAGCTATCACTTGAAAGTTCTTCCTGCTGGTAAGAAGACCAGAGGAAAGGGGCAGTGATCTTTCCAAACGCTCGGGAAACCACCCAACAGTGATGACTTAGGGAGGGGGTGTGGCCCTCTGGAAAGCCGCAGCAGACCCGGCTGAGGCTTGGGCGGGCTGGATTTGGCCCAAGAGCCTAAGGTTCCTCACCCCTGCTCTACCCTGATGGGCAGAAAGAGTCCTTTGCCACCCCCCCTGCCACCGGACTCTTTTCGAATGGGCCCCCGAGGACAGAATGTGGGGGATACCTGCACCCCAAGCCAGTGGCTTGCCCGGCCACCAAGTCACCTTGGTCTCCACCTTGCTGTCCCTCCGGCACCCTCCAGATTGCTCACCTTGGGCAAAGAGCTGCGCACACCGACCACCAGGCTGCGTACGTGTGCCGGCAACTCGGTTCTGCTCTCGGTCACTTTCACCAGCCGGGGGGGTCGCGCGGAGTCCGGGTCCCCAGCTGCTTGTCCCCGAAGCGTCCCCTGCAAGGTAGAAAACCCGGGCAGGATGAAGGCGAACAAAGCCACTGAGAAACGGTGGTGAGGAGAGCGGCTCCCGCTGCCAAACGGTGCGTGTATCGTGACTCGCCCGTGGGCTTTCTTTCCCGCTGCCCCCACGTCACCCTGGCAGCTGTCACCGACTCGGGAGAGGAAGGCTCTTCGAGGCCACGAGCAGCAGCAGTTCCAGGCCACAGCTAGGGATTCACCACAGGAAGGGAACCACGGTCCTGCCGCGCACACGCAAGCTCGTCCACGCACCCCTTGCACTGCCCATTCAGGAAGCTGGAATAACGTCCTTCGACGATACAGAACCAGACCCGTACGGGGGTCCAAACAAGATGCCGTGGAAGGGGGCCAGGCGTCCAAACTCTTCTAGCTCTTATTTATTAGACTGGATTTGTCCCCTGCTCAAGATGACTTATGATATCATTTAGACACTCTTTTTTTCTTTCTTTCTTTCTTTGAAATATTTTCACCCCGCCTTTCAGCTTGAAAGGACCAAAGGCGTCTCACATCATTAAAAGGACATTCTTTTGTTCTGAGCCCGGTATATATTCTTTATAAAAAAACATTAAGAAATGGGAAATGCTGAAACCTCCCAAAGGCTACCATTTTATCCACAAGTTACTAGGGATTACGTCCAACTGAATTCAGTGGGAGTTGCTTCCGAATAAATCTGTGCTGGGTTACACTGCTCTATGTCCATATTATTCCCAGTAAGTCAGCATCATTTGTTCCACTTTTGGCGGTTCCAGAAACGGATCCTGCAGAGCCCGGGAGGTCCAGCACAGGCAATCCCTACCAGGCTTTTCAATGGATATTCAGATGCTGACAGCACTCTTTAAAGTCTACTCTTGCCAGAAATGGCTTTTCTTTTTAAACAAATATTGAGATGCTTAGGATAAGAAATCCTTTGCTTTTTTGCCTAGCCAGCCATGCTCTTTATGCAGACTAAAGGCCAGGATTAAACAGCTGTGAGTCTGCATGCCGCTATCTATAACCGGAGAATGTAGAATTATTTTCCCAGGTTGGGAGGAGCCAAGAGCTGGTCATCCAAAAGAGTAACTTTTCCAAGCTCTTTGGTGAGTGATCAGAAGGGCCCAACTTGGAAACAGCATCAGGAAAAAGGAAAATACGGAATGAAAAAGAACACAGTGTGAGCAATAAAGAAGCAGGTATGTTCACCGGCGATGCTGAACCGTCATCTAGCAGAAGAAACGTGGTGGTTACGAAATGTGTGCCAGTGTTTGTGAGTGAGAGCTATTCGTTCACCCAAAGGAGGAGAAAGAAAGCCCAGATCTTGGGGCTCAGCAAGAAGCCCGGGGAAGAGGAGCAGGTGTTCCCAGGCTGCTGTGCTGTGCCGAGGGCTCACACTACGTACGATGGCTGGCCCAGGCTCAGAAGGCAGTCCGTGCCAAATGTCTCCTGGATCCAAAGTGACCGAATTGCATTTCTAGCCAATCTGATGAGGAGCGAAGCGGGCTGAGCACAGCCTGGCCCGAGTCAGGGAGCCAGAGAGAAAGAGAAGGCTTTCTCCAGCGCCCTCCAGCGCCCAAACCTAAAAACAGCTCTCTGGCCTAGAAGGAGAGAATACATTTTTTTGGAGAGGCAGCAGAAGGCGTTTTGGTTCGGCCCTTTTGTGCACACAGGCTTTAGAAGGAGAGCCAACCTGCAAAACCCAGAGCTTGGAAAGCTACCTTTTAAAAGTAACTCATTCCTGTCATTTGGAACAATATTTACAAAACAATTCATTATTGTTTTGTGGTTTTTTCTTTAAAAAAAAAGACCTTACAATGTTGCTCATTGCTTGCAACTTTGTAATTACTTTCTCTTGTTTATTTGGGGTTTGAATCCCAGGAAGAAAACATAAAACCTGGGGCCGAGTACATAATGCCAAGAAAGAAGACATGCTTTCCATCAAGCCCCTTGATCAGATGGCAGGTGAATGCACCAGAAGATGGGACCTTAGCCCCTCCTTCGGTTTCACGAAAGGGGCTTAAGAAGTTCCTGCAACGTCTCACCTGCTGAGCCTTTCTGTCCTGGCCGTGTCTCTCCAGGTAGCCCTTTGTAACAGCGCCGTCCCGGCACGGAGGTGGACTGCCATCCCCTGGACCTGTGGTCCCATCCTGCTTGCAGGCAGAGAGCAGGCTTAACTCATAGCACTCCTGGATATCTGAAAGAGAGGCCGAGAGGCACCTGTGAAGGAGGAGCCAGGATCCCTGCCAGGAGACCTTTTCCTAACTTTTGGCAAAAGAACCCACTTGCGCAGCCCTGGGGTCTTGGAGGACGTGCATCTGGAGTATGGACTAGGTAGTCCCCCTTACAAAATCCCAGTGGCCAAAGAATCAACCAAGGCCAGGAAGATTTGCCCCTACAGCCCCTTGGAGGTTACCTGCAGAACAGCTGACTCTTCTTTTTTTATTCTCTTTTTATTTCCTTTCAGGATGCAGCTCTTCTAAGGCTGGAGAAAGTCACTTCTCTCAAGGACAGGCCCCAGAATCCTCTAGCCAGCAAGGCTACAGGACCCGGGGAAGCTGCTTCTCGGATTGAAGTCCTCCTTCACTTCAGGATATGGGTTCCAGCTTCCCACCCTCTTTTCAGTTTCCCCCACTAGAATCCAGCACCATCTTAGCGTTGGCCAGCCCTCCCCACGACACACAGACAGAGAGAGAGAGAGAGAGAGAGAGAGAGAGACTTTGCCAGCAGAAATCCTGACACCGAACCAAGCAGGGAAGGCCTGGTTGCAGGGAGGCGGAGGGCCCTTCCACCTTCCCCGATGGGGCTGGAGGAGAGCGAGCCATCCTGTCCCACACCCACGGTGCTGCAGGGAGTAACCAAGTCTTGGCAGCCCCACAAGCAGAGCCTGGACGAGTTGCAAGGAAGGAGGAGGAGGAGGTGGGGAAGGAGAGGCCCAAGCATTTCCTCCCTGCGCAAAGCCTGGGCTCACATTCCTGAGGAGAAGCGGCTGCCACAGCTCTGCTCCCACCAGAGGGATATTGTGCCCCCTTGGCCAGAGAGAGGGAGCTGCCTTGTTCCCACAGCCGTGGCTTGCGCAGCAGCCGGTTCCCTTGGAAAAACATCACAGCAAGCCCTGGCCAGGCACGCACCAGACAGGAACCGCACCGAAGGGGCGCCTGGCTTCTCCTGCCCCAGAAACAGCCGCCACCCCAATGGCTTCAGCTCTTTGGGAAAAGGTCAGCTGCTGTCGCCACCTCCCCCCCCCCGCATTGCTCGCTGCTCCCCAGACCACGCTCTGGGCTCATCAAAGCCCTCCAAAGCCACCTCCCACTTTCCTGGGAGCAGCAAACCAGCAAAGAGCAGCCGCTTGATTGCAGCCAGGAGCTTTCCTGGATTGCAACCGACTTTGTCAGATGATGGCCTTGCTTCCTGCCAAGACAGGCCGGTCCCTGCCAACGGTTTTGTGAATGGCCAACTTCAAGAGTGGCCTGGCTGCTGCTGGTCCATCCTTGGATTAGGTTCACTCTGATCTGAAGCTGTCTCCCAACACTACACCTGCAGACGGACTGTGTGTTTGTGTGTGCACACGTACACACAGACACACAAACTGTATATGTGCAGCAAAAGCAACAGCCTCGTGGCAGCTGAAAAAAAAATTGGAAAGTTTTATTTGCATAAGTTTTCCTGGACTGCAGCCCACTTGTAATTGAGGCACTGGAAGAAGTAGGCTAAAGTCCATGAAAGCTTATGGCAAATAAAACTTATTTAGCGGAACCATTTTTAAAAATCACCTCTCTGCCTCACAGAGCACCCAAAGAGATTTACAATAACCATGTAAATTATTAGGAACAAATCAGAAACATTTCAAAAAACGGACCCGTAGCTGTTCAAAAAAAGAAAAAAGAAAAAAAGGGAAAACAATACTAGGGACCAAAGACTTAGCCTTCGTCTTCAAAAGTCGACAAGACTCCTTTTTTGCTGTTTTCCTGCATGCACATGTCTCGGAGAGTCTATCTTGAAACGCAGAGAGGAGACTGAAACCCACAAAACCTCTGGCTGTAGCAAAGGGGTCGCTCCCTGAGCTGCTGCAAGATCCTTCATGGTTTTATTTCGATGCATTTTTTACTCTGCAGGACCAGGAGGGACGTTCCGCAGGCACAGAAGAAGAGGAAAAAGGGAAGATAAAGAAAAACGGACACGCCGCAGTGACAGGCAGACGGTTCCTTTGCAACCGCAGGCCACCCTTACCCAGCAGTGCCTGGAAGAGTTCGCTCCGAAAGAGGCTCAGCACCTTCTCAAGGGAGGCTTGCAGGGGCTGCTCTACTGGGGGCCGCAAGAAGCGCTGGTACCGGGCTAAGATCTCCACAGCCCGCTGGGTGTCTGCCAAGAGAAGTCCAGAGCTCAGAAGCAGAACGCTCACACAAAACCAGGGGCCCACCTCCCGCGCCGAGCCAGCCACCCACTCCGCCAGGCTAGGTTCCCAAGCAGGATGGCACCTCCAGGGGTCGCGATCGTCTCTCCATTTACTTCTAACTTGGCTTACAGGACTTCCCCCGGGTGTGTGGATTTGTGTTTTTGGACCACACCTCGAGGAGAATCCACAAAAGAGCATGCCAGGCCTAAAGGAAGGCTTGGAGAGTTGTTCAGTGGGGCAGGACGCCCTACAAAGCAGGCTTTTGCAAGGGGTGGGGGTGGGGGAGGTCTTCTAAAGGGCCTCTCCTCTTAATCTTCATAATTCAGCAGGTTCCCAATAATAAGTCAGGTGGCCTTTCCAAAAGCTAAACTGTAAGCTGTTTATGTCAGAAGCTGGTTTATTTACAACATACTGCAATTTCAAAAGAAAAGAAAAGAAAAGAAAGATAGAAAGAAAAAGAAAGAAAAGAAAAGACCAGAAAAAGGGGGGGAAAAAACACCACCCAGCAGAACTATTTACAACATGTTCCCAGAAAACTAAACAAATAGCAGCTGGGGTTTCGATTTTTAAAACCAGCTGCTTGAATGGAGCCCAGAAAAGCAGAGGCAACCAGCGCTGGGGACATGAGTGGCCATCTGGGGTGACGTCACGCGGACACCGTGCGCGGGAGTACAGGCCGGCTTCTGCATTTTGCAGTAAACGAGGCTTCCGAACACTCTCCCAGCGTAGCCCCATTTAGAATGCATTGCAGTCATCCAACTGTGAGACCACCAGCGGCTGCTGAGGGACCAGCGCTCCTGAGCAAAGGGAAGGGGCCGGTTCCTGCCCCGGGGAAGCTGCCTGCTTCTCCTCTAAACCCCACATATTCCAGCCAACGTGTTCAGGGAGTTCAGCATCCGCTCCCCTGCAGTGCAGCGGGGCGGGTCAAGTGCTGCCCTCCAGATACAGTTGGACTGAAGCTCTCAGCATTCCTGACCAGCGGCTCTGCTGGCTGAGGCTCATAAGAGTTGTAGTCCAACAACATGTTAAGCGATGCTCTTGGCCCACCGATGCCCTCCTGCTTGCTTCGTAAGAAGAACATATATGGGAAGATGAACTTAACCAAGTGCTAACATTGAGCCATCGTGTTCAGGGTTTCTAAAGACATGTGGGGAAATCAGTGGCCTTCTAGATGGTGCTAGACTACAAGTCCCATGATGCTTCATTGCCATCTATGGTTACCAGGAGTCACAGCCCGTGTCAATTTCATGCACAAAGAGCATTTCATATCACGAGACTCTTTCGTGCATCCATGTTACACAGTTAGAGCCCTTTGGCTGTGTTTCAACTGTCACGGCACCACCTGCAGGATGCTGGGATTTGTGGTTTCGGGAGAGACTTAGAAGGCTCTGGCTGTAGTTCAGGGGAAGCCCACGGGAGCCCCCTGGCAGAGAAACCTCAGTCCCTCCCCCCAAACTACAGATCCCAGCATTCCATAGGAAGGAACCACAACTGCTCAACAGGGGACCAACTCCTTTACCGGTATTGTGTAGATCATTTTAGACCCTTGATCATTCCTTCTGCAACAGAAATCACCAGATCTTAAGACGGTGGATTCTGCGTGATTCACAGATGCTTTTTCCGCTCTCTTAAATCCACTGCCTACAAGTTCATTGTGCGACACTCCCCTTCCCCCATGTCCTCGTACGATTTGAGGTGGATGGGGGAAAGTTCTGTCTCTCTTCTCTCTTTCTCCATAAAGTTGAACCACCTGCGATT